TAATTTAAAGTGGGTGATGAATCTTGTCTTTTGTCTTGTTATTTGGTAAGATTGCCCAGTTAAAGATTGACGCCAATCCTTTTGCAAAAGCTTTCAGAAGTGATGGACTGCATGGCAAGGCTAAACGGTGAGTACGTGTCTGAATTTATCAGGTATGGCTCGTGTCCTCTGTCTTGAAAGATAATGAGCACCATAGTTACGGAGAACGAAAGGGAGGAGGAAGCCACGGCCTCAGCGCGAGGTTGAGACCTTGGACTAGCCAGGCCGTGAAATCATCCGAACCAAAAACACAGAAATGAGAAACAGTAAGTAAAATATACCTGGAATTAGAGTTCCAATTTCGGTTTACAATTGTAAAAATTTACGGAAATATATATATGTCACCCTACCTTCCTACTTTGACGTGTTAGCCAGACTACGTCAGAGGTGTCCACTCCTCCCCCCACCGTCCTGCTTTGACGTGTTAGCCAGACTACGTCAGAGGTGTCCACTCCTCCCCCCACCGTCCTGCTTTGACGTGTTAGCCAGACTACGTCAAAGGTGTCCACCACTCGCGGTTTCTGGCCCAAATCCAAGGTTTCTTTTTCTCGATTTTTATATTACGTTAGATCTCATGTAGATTCAAGCAAATAAAAGACATCTGCCATATACATCGTCATATAACGTTTGTTTCAACGTTAATAGGCGTCGTATGGAAACCATGAGCGCTTGTGAATATTGGAAAATTCCAGAATATGGTCCATCATCAGACTGTTCAAATATGGAGGACTCTCTTGTCAACAGTGACGAGCCAGACGTGGAAAATAACTCCTCTTCGAATGAACTCGCCGATGAATTCTCACCTGAAGAAAGCTTCAATTGCGACGAACGACAAGTGAATGGAACACGTAAAAATTCAGCGAGTCAGACAGGTATAACATGACGTCATTACACATGCGCCCGTAGAGATAGAGGGCAGACAATATACAGTTTGGTAGAATTCTACTAGTGTACTAGTGCAAATGCTGCAATCTGATTGGCTGCGCTACTCGTACACTATCAACCGTTATAGTGCAGTCTAGGAAATGCGGCGGTTTTCGTTTATCCGAAGTGTTGGAGGAACGTTTAGATGTAAATGGATAATTAAATTCCTGAGAAGACTAAAAGAAGGTCATTAACTATAATTTGACTTTAAAATCTTGAAATTATTGAAACAAAACGGGTGAGCGCGCGTAAACAAATGCAAAATTCCAATGACAATTTAATCCGTGCGATGTTGTTAAGGCGACCTTATCAACTATCGCCTCATAGACTCAAATCAAAAGTTGAGAGCGAGTAATTGTTAAATATGCGTCAACAAGAGAGGTTGAAGGGTAAGAGAGCTAATCTTCATATTGACCTTATTTCAACGTAACTCCTCGCAAGTTATTTTTAGATCACTTTCGGTTTCACGAACCCCAGGAGGGTCAGGGAAACGCCAATCCCGTGCCGCGGAGTTTGCTCACGTAGATCCCCAAGGCGGTTTTGCAGCGCATTTTCATTCTCCACGAAAATATATACGCAACGCGCGTGGTACCATTATCCGAGGAAATCTGGGTACCATGTCTGAACATAAACTAAGAGGGATTAGCTACAAGTAGGGAATTACGCCTATAAAGGGTATTAACCCTCATTCTTACCCTTTTCATCCTCTCTTGGCCTCAATAATGATTTGTAAAAGAATAGGCCATTTGCAAGCCTTTTCGTTTTACATGAAGCCTGCTACAAAATTAAACTGGTACTCTTTTATCTTGTGGGTGACCATAAGATTTGAGAATTTAGAACCTATTTTGTTGTTTGATTGGAACACAGGATTGTGCAAAGACGTTTTGGACGTACATAACAAGATTCAAAATGGAACGAGCAATGAGGAAATCCTGTCAATTGTGTCACAAGCTACGCAACATCAGTCCACAAATCCACCCGGCGAAAATGACTCACATTTAATGTGTGAAGAGTCTGCAGAATGGATGTGGGGGTTTGACGAGCAAATGTCATTCAGATACGCTTCCAATGGCCAACTGGAAGGCCTCTTCAAGTATGGAGACAGCCCTAAGGATTCCTCGAAGAATTCCATTGATGTGGGCGAGGTTACGAAAGCTACGGTCAACAGGAGGAAAAAATATCTCCCGAGGAGGCTGCAAAGAACGGTGGATTCAACGTTAACAAACGTGAGTTCAGAAGAAATACTGGAGTTAGAGCACGCGGATAGACCTGCTGTTGACCAAGTAGATTTGCCGCCGCTACAACCGAGTGACAAAACATCCATCTCTGCTAATGACGGGAAAGCAGAACAGTCCTGCAGTACAGACGAGCAGACGACACGATCGACTCCCTCGCCGTGTTTTGAACCTGTTGCAAAGCCATCCATTAGCTGTAAAACCCCACTTCATCCACAAAAGACAAATTCCCATACCGACGCCATGCATGCGTCTGGCGAGTCACTGGCTACTCCTGCTAATTCTATGCTGTCGACGGTTACTCCTGGACCAGGGACCACAACCGGTTCTTCTCTAACAGCTCTGATGCAGATGTGTTCAGACGCTGAGTCAGGTTTGGACAGCCGAAGGTCAATGCGACAACGGAGAACGGCGACAAACGACACCTCCAAGAAATTGGAGATGCCAGGCACACCTGGTAGGAAGGGTATTTTTCCAGGAGAACTTTCAGAAGCCAGGATGTCTACGTCAAAAGAATACGCGGGACCAGTAACCCCCCAAGACTGTGATTCTTCGTTTAAACGACAAGTGGAATCTGCGGCATCTTCCTATGGTCAGCTTTCTCAGCAGTCAGATCACAACTACTCACTTCCACTGACTTCTGAGGGCGAAGAACGGGCCAGACCGTGCCTTATTCCAACATCCTCTGCATTCATTGGACACGTAACATCATCGGGCATAAATGCAACCCCTCCTGCGTTTAACAACTACAACAGTAACAGCAGTAGCACCAGCATGAATTCGTTTGTACACGTAACATCATCGGACATAACTGCAACGTCTCCTGTGTTCAGTAACTACAGCAGCAGCAGCAGCGGCAGTCACAGCATAAATTCGTTCGTAAGCGCAACATCATCGAACATCAATGCAACGCCTCCTGCGTTTAAAAACAGCAGTAACAGTGGAAGTCACAGCATGAATTCGTTTGTCAGACGCGCAACATCATCCGACATAACTGCAACTTGTCCTGTGCTCACCAACTACAACAGCCACAGCATGAATTCGTTTGTACACACCACATCATCGGACATAACTGCAACGCCTCCTGCGGTCAGCAACCACAGCAGCAGCGACAGTCACAGCATGAATTCGTTTGTACACGCCACATCATCGGACATAACTGCAAGGCCTCCTGTGTTCAACACCTGCAGCAACAGCAATACTAACAGCATGAATTCTCTTGTAAGCAATAGTGTAAGCACGTCACCGACAACTACCTATTCGAGGGCATACCCTTATATCGAAGAGCCCTCTCCAATGATTGTGGACAAATTTTCCGGTTATTATATTGTGAATGGGCACACCAGCGGACAACTTCAACAAAATAAACAACAAGGATACAGGCCTATTGTTCCCGCTCCCAACCAATCAGTAAACGTCTGCTCTGATGAGCCCGCGAGTGATCCTTCACTTACTAGCAGTTGTAGTAGCAACAATATTCCCTTTCCCATAATAATCGACAGTTTCTCCATCAACGAAAATTTTCGAGCCGCTGTTGAGCATCGAAGCTTCAAGTATAAGATTTTAGAGTCACAAAGGCAAGCAAATCCTGTTTCCAATTTAATGCCACAACAAACTTCACCACCACCGCCACAAGTCAACCGAGGTCATTTCTCATCACCCTACCTGAATCAAACTGGTCAGTCTGGTTATATCGCTCTTGATAACACTGTTCTCATGAGAGCGTTTCCCCTCGAAAAATTCTACTCGTTTTCTGCACCGGCCGAACAACTACCACAGCCTCCTTCCGTTCGACCTCTCACCCGCTGCTACAAGACGACGCGGACGAACTTCAGCCGCATGAGCCTGGAACCTATCTGCAGTGTGATTCATCCGAGGATCGATTTAACATCTCAGAAATCCGCTACTGAAGTTGCAAATCAAAGGGCGTGGGTTTGGGGAATTTGATCGCTGTTTTATGCTTTGAGAACGTAGTTTGTAATCGACTTTATGTGTTTTTTTTCGCTAATGAACTAGAGAGATTACATTCGTTAAGGTTTGTTTCTTTGTTTGGTTTGCGTTTCGTTGCTATGGCCAGAGTAAAGACTGTTCAGCTGGTCACTGAGCGGTTTGTGTTGAAAAGTTAACGTTGTTGAATAATATGACATTATATGCTGACGTGATAATATTTGGTTATTAAATAAAGGGGATAGATTGTTATCGACTAGCGTTTCCATTTCTATGAAGAAAGAACGGAAGGGAGAACAAATAATACTTTGTCTCTAAAGAAGTTCACTCTGAGTATGTTCTGTGATAAATATCGTCAAAGCATTGAACGTCAAGACACTAAAATCATATTTGCCACATAACTTCTATCATCTAAAGTACTTATGTGGTGTATACAAGTCTTGCAAACTGAATAAAACTAATACCCCATTCACACCAACTAAACTGGTTTAACTAAATCAGCTTTAGGTTTTTTTCCAAGTTGTCGATTACGTTTTGCAGTCATTTTGAGAAGACAAATTTTAAACCATCTTGTTATCATATTTTAGTCAAACACTGAGGTTTTTACGTGGTTAAGTTGTGGGGTGTGCATGGTATGAGCAACTAATTTTTAGCCTTGTTCAGTTAAACCACTTTAAAAGATGTTTAACATGTTAGCCCTTTTTAGCTTTGGGAAAGGTTTAAGCCCAAAGGCCCTTGCTTATTTCAATCCCGTCTTACTTTAAAAACAGCATTGAAGCTCGAGTCGTCAAACTTTGTGACTTTTCCTCAAAAAAAAAAACACATCAGGGAGCATTTTTGTGTTAATTTGTTTTGGTCGAGTGACTTGACGTTTCTATGGCAACCATGTTTTGAAAGAGTGCATGTTTAACCAAAATTTCTGTTTTAGTGCAAATTCTCGACCAGAGTTTTTCAGTGATAATTTGAATTTGCTTCAAAAATGCAGAAATGTCGTTCATGCAAACAAATGGCGGTTATGTCGCTAATTTCAGTTCTCTTTTCACGAAGGAGTTTGTACTCTAGAACAAGCAACTTTCTAGGTAAGCATTTAGGAATTCTCCCTTATTTCCTCTTAAAATCCGTTGACAAACAACAGACCTATAACTGTTTTTCGGTTTTGTGCAGAATCTACAAAAACCTTTCTAATGTTGATAGTTTTCCCCCTTCTGCGCGTTTATCTCCATTGTTGCCAACCAGTCTGCATAACGCTTTCTGGGCAAAGGTTTTATTTGAAGGATCTCTTTGCCAGGGTTTTAACAGATCTTTTCAGCCCCGCAAGACTTGTTCACAAAGCATCCCCGGAAAATTTTGTCGCATACATGTCCGTCAAAAAAAGTAGGTAAGTAAATTTGCGCCGTTGAACGGTTGTATATATGAACAGACTAGTAGTAAGGAGACATTTCTAACTGATTTCTAGCGCAATTGTTAGTTTATTTCAATTTCGGAGCGTCAAAAGTTTGACCAAAATTTTCAATTGTAGATTCACAAAGCACAGCTGTCCTCCGCATTCTCAAGTCCGTCCATCAACCGCATGAACCTCATTCCGTCAACTAAAAAAGCTATTACTCTATATAACAATAGTAATCGGAGAGAGTATTTTCCATCAGTTTTAATTGGAGCGGTGTAGTTGCTAATCAACACTGCTGGAACAGAACTCATGAGTACAACAAGTTCACTCTATTAACGCATGAGATTCGGGAAAGTGTTATTCAGGACTTCCTGTTGAAATTTAAAAATTACTGTGTTTCCTTTTCGCGTTAAATTAAAGAATAATTCTTTAATGATAGCAAGGAGGCTGAGCAGGGTTTATTTTAATTGGAATCTACCGGCTAATTGGAAACAAAGCTGTAAGCGACCGGACTCGTCGAGCATTATGTTCTAGATGTGTGAAGTGTTTTCGGGACCCATAATGAACAGGTGTAAACCAAATACTCCGATTACAAACTACAAAATTCCCCTCCGGCGTTCGAAACTAACTCATATATCAACTTTATCATCTTTCAGGCTTAAATCGCCTTTTTCTGTAAGCGTGAATTTGGAGATCGGCCAGTTTAAAATTATATTATCATATTGAGGCTTAAATACGTATGTTGTGCTACTAACTAATTTCTTTAGGTCTTGAATATTCTAGTTCTTCGTCACAACCTCAGTTCACGGGGGCGAGGGAGTGACATGGAGTCAGAAGTGGACTACGTACACAACAGGTGAGGACAAGTGAACATAGCAACAAGATTTGCAAAACTGCAATATCTGTCAATATATCTTTGCCTCTGGAAAAATCTAAATCAGATACCTTTGAGATTTCAAAGTTTGTGTTTAATTTAACTGTAACTATGCAAGGCGATAAAATGGACTGAATTTTAATGGCTCCTTTTGGAATAAATTTGACTGCTGTGCACTAATGGTTCGAGTTTGAAGAATTGTGAGCATAACCTCCAAATAAAAATGAATATTTCTATATTAAAACTGTGAACTCCACTCTTTGAGGCTGCATGCCATATCGGTGAATTTTTAAAATTAGAATTTAAGTAAACTACAGCCAGAACAAGTGCACTTGACGAATGACATTCGGGGTATAAATATCAAAAGGGTTTTTGGTATAGTTTGAGAAAGTCTCGAGGATATCTTTTCGTTATAAATATTGAAGTGTATAAATACAAGATTGTGCAACTTTTTTTGTAACCTACGCATTCGTTTGATTTCAGAGATGAATTTTCAAAGATGAATTTTTCTTTTTATCTTTTTTATGTCCAAGGAATATTGAATTTAGATCAGTGACGAATTATAGGTCGATTTAATTTACTGAATGGTGTTTTTCAATTTACACTGATGAAACCTTCAACTGACTCACCGTCACATCTTAGCTCATTTACAAAGTACGAAAGAATAAAAAGCCGTATTACAAAAGATGACTGATTCGTAGCAGTTTCATTTGAAACGTCACTGTCAATGCGCACGCTAGGGTTGATCACAGAGCTCAATAGAATTCATCTGAATGGTCGCAGACTAGCATTTCAACCACAGAATTCAAAGTTAGAACCACCTTGTACAGCATGATAAACCGTACCACATGAACGTATGCTCAGTAGCTTTCATTTAAACGGTCACACACTGGGGCTTCATCGACTGGGGTTTCATTCATCGACTTTAAATTTACATCCACCTTGTACAGTTTAACTGTTTCTCTTGCTTTAAGCCATCCTTGCATATATTTTCGTATTTCTTTCTGCTCTTAATCGAGCTCAGTTTATTTCAGCGTCAAAACTACTATACAAAGCGTTATCAAAATGTGGCGAAGAGTTTGGCCGGGACTGATCATCTGTAAACAGTGTTCTCTAATTAAGTGGAGGCCTCTTTACTGAAAACAGCAGGAAAAATATTTGGGGAAACACCCAACTCGCAAATAAGCGCATGCCTAGAGCGTTGATATTGCAAAAACATAACACGTAATACAACTCAAGCCAAGCAGTTCTCACAAATTATAGTCAACAACAGTTCTGAGGACCATTTAACACCTTCAAATCGTGTTTTTGGAAGTTTTCTAATCGATCTTCTCCATTCTTACATCTGTTCTCTGCTCTGTTTTGCGTAATTACGATGCTCTTGACATTTCTCTACCGTATTAATTTTAAGGTCGATAATCAGTTTCTATCTTATCTTGCACAATACACCACAGTTTGAATCTTCCACGCAGCTGATCTATAGATGTGAGATCATCTTTAAAATTATCGTTGCTGTTTTTCATACATTTTCTTTAATCGTCCTCGAGTTCTCATCTTAACCTCGGGTACTCAGCTACCATGATTAACTCTCCTTGGATTTGTAATAAAATCGTATAAAGAGTTATAGAGATTACTCAATCTCAAAACAAGTCAGAAAGTTGGAAAAATATACGTTTTTTTTTTCAATTGCTTGCACGTCAAAACAAACAAACAACTGTTTAACTCTTTTCTCGAAAAGCCGTTCCAACAAAATTGGCATGATGTCAACCCCTTGTATTACTTGCAGAATATTTGTTGCTATTATATTGTGTCATACATAAAACAGATAATCAACCAATCATCGAATATCAGTCACCTTATATTAGACCTGAAAGACAATATGCACCGTATTTTTCCCTACTCAAATATAACAGGCTTTTCTAAAAGTAAATGAACTAGTAAATGAGCTATATAAGTTTAAAAACTTATATAGTTCATTTACTAATGGCAATACAAGGGGAAAAAAAGCATTGTTTTCATAGCCATATATAGCCATTTCATGACTAATGACGTGGAAGTAACACTTCTCTATAAAACTGGGGCATCAAAGTGGTCATCTAACTTTTGACAATTCCAGGCTGGAGTGGATAAGGTAAGAGTAGTTTTTGTTTGCCCTACTCAGGTGGTATTTTGGCAAATGGGAAACATGCTCGTATTTCTTTCGAAAAATTTATCTCGGTCGGTACGTAGGATTCTGAAATTGCAGGTCAAATCTGGGTGCCAGCAAATCAATTATTTTCATTATCGAGGTGCCACTGAGAACAAAGCAAAATCCAGAGAACATTTTTTTTTTCTTAAAAAGTAGATACGAAGACAATAACTTGTAAAACTGAACAAATTTCTCAAATTACCTTTCTTTTTACTATGACAACCTGGATATTGACATTAACGACCACAATCTTGAGAATGATGTTTGATGCATCGAAACGTCAATTGACATCACTTTTTATCTTTCTTGTCAAATGCATTAACAAGCAACTCATTATCCGCAAACTTTGCTTCCTCCTTGCTTAGCACACGGAAATACTTCGCTTACCACAAGCATCCTTTTCGAAGCAAAGTTTTAAAGGCGGAAATTGGCAGTGTAGCAATTTCGGAAGAACTTCCGAACGTCGAGGCATATAACTCGATGTTCACAGCAAACTAAAACAATCTTTGCTGATGTTTAAGGTGCACTGAGTTGTAAGCTCGATTGGACGTCAAAAAACTACAAAATGACTCTGCGATATAGATAGCATTTGAGCAAGAACCACAAGCATGGTAAGAAGCAGTATGTTTTATAAGAAGACATGATTGATCCTGTGAAATTCAAGCCTGACTAAATTCAGGCTTTAACGGAATTCGAACCCATGACCTTCGTGATACCGGTGCAGTGCTTTACCAGCTGAGTTATCAAGCCAACGGGGAGCTGATCACATTGTGAATTCGTAATATGATATACCCGTTGATGGTGAAGATACTAGTTGAAATAATGATCATATATTTGAACTTCGGAGAAAGAGTTGAAGACATGATTGATCATCGCAGTAATATACAAAACTTAAGCAGTTGGGATAACCTTTATTACTTACAATTAATAGCTGTTTCAAGCCAAGAAAATACCAATTTGCCATCTCTTAGCTTTTCTTTCTTTTTAGACCATCTAATTTAAACTTTTCCCTCCGACAATTTTGACCCAATTTTCGGAGTGCAAGAGGAAGTCAGAGATGACAACGCTAGTCGTATCTTGATCTAAAAACTCACTTACTTGAATCAGTGCGACAGAGCTTGAGTGTCGTATTCGATAAATTGTTTTTGAACTTTTTCCGGCCTCCCAGGGCACCAACTCGGAAAACAGGAAATAATTACTTAATAGTAAAATATTGACTACCAAAAAGATTCACCGCATGTACTTATTGCTTAGTAGCTTAGTCAAACAGAAGGGTACCAACAATAAACTTTTAAAACGTTGGATCGGGGGGGGGGGGGGGGGAGGCACTCCGTAGATCTTTTGGTAGTGGTGTACTGCTGGGACACCCTATACTAGACCATGATCAGTTTGATTTTGCAACCCTA